CCAGTAGAGATTAGATTTTTCTAGATTTTCTTACAAATGAAATGACAATTGACCTCAATGTGTTTAGTTCTTTCATGGTATACGGGATTTGAGGCGATATGAAGAGCAGCTTGGTTGTCACACCAGAGTTTTGCTGGTACCGAAGGCTTCAATCCAACCTCAGCTAGAAGATGTTTTATCCACAAAATTTCACATGTGGCCTATGCCATGGCTTTGTACTCTGATTTTGCGCTGGATCTGAATACGACATTCTGCTTCTTGCTCCTCCAGGACACAAGGTTTTCACCAACAAAGACACAATATCCTGTAGTGTACCTTCTATTAATTTTGGATCCGGCCCAATCAGCATCTATAAGTCCCTCAATGCAAGTGTGTCCATGATTGTTGTACACTATTCCAAGACCAGAAGCTCTTTTCAAGTAACAAAATATCTATTCCAAAGCTACCCAATGTTTTACTACAAGCACAGACATAAATTGGCTTACAACACTGACAGCATGAGCAATATCTGGACGGGTCACTGTGAGATAGTTTAGTTTCCCAATTAATCTCCTGTACTTTCAAGATCATCAAAGGGACTACCATCATCTTTTGTAAGATGTACATTGGGAACCATTAGTGTACTGCATGGCTTGGCCCCCATCTTTCCGGTTTTGGCTAGCAAATCAAGTACATACTTTCGTTGAGATAAGAAAACCCCTTTTCTGTATCTTGTTACTTCTATTCCCAGAAAATATTTTAGTTGGTCCAAGTCTTTTGTGTGAAATTTGGTATGTAGATAACTTGAGAGAGGAGAGTCCTGCACAATCAGCTCCTGTAATGATAATGTCATTGACATAAACAACAAGAATAATACCAGTTGCTGACTGTCTTTAGAAGACTGAGTGATCACACTTGCTCTTCTTCAACCAGAACTCCTAAGTTACCTCACTGAACTAACTAAACCAGGCATGCGAACTCTGTTTTAGACCATACAGAGATTTCTTAAGATGACAAACTTTTCTATACTTCCCCTGAGCAACAAACCAAGGTGGTTGCTCCATATACACCTCTTCCTAGATATCATCATGAAGGAATGCATTCTTGATGTCCAATTGGTGTAAGGGTCAATCTTGGGATGCAGCAATGGATATAAATAGACGAACAGATATAAGTTTGGCCACTGGAGAGAAAGTATCTGAATAATCCACTCTATAGGTCTAAGCATATCCTTTTGCAACAAGTCTGGCTTTCAGTCTTGCCACAAAGCCATTTGGATTGACCTTGACAAAAAAGATCCATTTGCATCCCATAGTTTTCTTGCCTTTAGATAAATCTACCAACTCCCATGTGTGATTTTCATCTAGAGCACGTATCTCCTCAAGCATTGCACTATGCCATCCAAGATGACCTAAGGCTTCTTTTACTGGTTTGGGCATAGAGACTGAATTTAAAGAGGCAATTAAAGAACTAGACGCAGGAAACAGATTATCATATGAAATAAAGTTAGCTATGGGATAAATAGATTTAGGAAGAGTGCACTGGCGTTTACCTTTGCGAAGGCTAATGGAAAGGTCAAGGTCATTTGGAGGATTAGATGATGAAGTAGCCGATGCAAAACATGTACCATTGGTCTCTTGCCTTTTGGAGTAAACATGGATAATAGGCGGCTTTAGATGTAAGAGAAGCACCATCATCTGATTGCCCAGTAGGAGTACTTGGATGTGTGATTTGATAGATTAGTCACTTGTAAGATGTACATTGGGAACCATTAGTGTACTGCATGGCTTGGCCCCCATCTTTCCGGTTTTGGCCAGCAAATCAAGTACATACTTTCGTTGAGATAAGAAAACCCCTTTTCTGTATCTTGTTACTTCTATTCCCAGAAAATATTTTAGTTGGTCCAAGTCTTTTGTGTGAAATTTGGTATGTAGATAACTTGAGAGAGGAGAGTCCTGCACAATCAGCTCCTGTAATGATAATGTCATTGACATAAACAACAAGAATAATACCAGTTGCTGACTGTCTTTAGAAGACTGAGTGATCACACTTGCTCTTCTTCAACCAGAACTCCTAAGTTACCTCACTGAACTAACTAAACCAGGCATACGAACTCTGTTTTAGACCATACAGAGATTTCTTAAGATGACAAACTTTTCTACACTTCCCCTGAGCAACAAACCAAGGTGGTTGCTCCATATACACCTCTTCCTAGATATCATCATGAAGGAATGCATTCTTGATGTCCAATTGGTGTAAGGGCCAATCTTGGGATGCAGCAATGGATATAAATAGACGAACAGATATAAGTTTGGCCACTGGAGAGAAAGTATCTGAATAATCCACTCTATAGGTCTAAGCATATCCTTTTGCAACAAGTCTGGCTTTCAGTCTTGCCACAAAGCCATTTGGATTGACCTTGACAAAAAAGATCCATTTGCATCCCATAGTTTTCTTGCCTTTAGATAAATCTACCAACTCCCATGT